ATTCTGAGACACGAATGACACAGACGTAGCCTGAATTTATATTCTGAGACACGATTGACACAGACGTAGCCTGAATTTACATTCTGAGACACGATTGACACAGACGTAGCCTGGATTTATATTCTGAGACAGGATTGACACAGACGTAGCCTGGAATTATATTCTGAGACAGGATTGACACAGACGTAGCCTGAATTTACATTCTGAGACAGGATTGACACAGACGTAGCCTGGATTTATATTCTGAGACATGATTGACACAGACGTAGCCTGGATTTATATTCTGAGACAGGATTGACACAGACGTAGCCTGGATTTATATTCTGAGACAGGATTGACACAGACGTAGCCTGGATTTATATTCTGAGACACGATTGACACAGACGTAGCCTGAATTTATATACTGAGACACGATTGACATAACCTGAATTTACATTGCACCTTAATTTACAAATTCAACTAACAGCTAAATCAGACGTTATCTTATAGATATGGTAAAGTACTGGTTTCATCTTTTATTTATATTTATGAATTTTTAGTTATTCCGTAACGTTCAAAAATGTTCGGAACAGTGTTTATAAATGGGCTGATTATTTTAAAGGAACCCGTGTCCCATGGATACCCTGGGGGAAACATAGGCTAAAAAATCGAAATAATTTTTTGTTTCAAAAATCTATTTTTTCTAAATTCGAATTTTTTTTACCCAAGTGTTTCTAAAATTCCACGGGCAACGCTCGGCACTTCCGCTAGTTTTTTTTTATAAACATGTTTATACTTGATAATGACAACAGTGTAAAGATTTGATATTGTACGTCTATTGTCAAAATCTATTTATGTAAATAAATAAATATATTTATCTATATTATACTCTTAAAAAACATGAAATAGTCAGACACGCCTAAAAGTCACGGATATGATTTTTCTAAATGAATCATCAATGACTTGCAGCTTAAACATGGGCTTTACAACAAATTAGTTACTTTCATTCAACAAAACTACCGTAAATTAAGAAAAAAAGGAACAGCCGTAAATTCAAGCAATACACAGTACACACGGACATGCACAATGTACATGGACAATAACTTAAGTAAAAGTTGTGAGAAATGGTTTTCCCATATCGAATATTTCTATAAAACTTTAATTAAATAAATTTATATATCCAACTGTCTTTGGGAACTTATTTTTTTTGCTGTGATTTTTACTTTTTTTTGTTGTTTTCGGTTTAAATTCAAGATTTTTAAACCTTAAACAAACAAAAAGGTTGCTATCCCATTTGAACTACTCCCGTTTGAACTATTGTTCATTTGAACTATTGTTCGTTTGAACTACTGCACGTGGTACCACGTGAATAGTTGAAATGAACATTTTAACTATTTTTTAGTTCATTTGAATTAACTATTAATATTATGTATGAAATAAACAAAAAATAGTTGAAATGAACAAAAAAATATTATATATGAAATAAAAAAAATAGTTGAAATGAACAAAAAAAATATTATATATGAAATTAACAAAAAATATTTCAAATGAACATAGTTCAAATGGACATCAAAATAGTTCATGGGCAAAAAAATAGTTCAAATGAACATAAAATAGTTCAAAATGAACAAAAAATATTTCAAATGAACAAAAGAATAGTTCAAATGAACAAAAAATTAGTTCACAGGGACAAAAACATAGTTCAAATGGACAAAAAAAATAGTTCAAATGGAAATTAAAATAGTTCAAATGGACATAAAAATAGTTCAAATGGACATAAAAATAGTTCAAATGAACATAAAAATAGTTCAAATGGACAAAAAAACAGTTCAAATGGACATAAAAATAGTTCAAATGGTCATAAAAATAGTTCAAATGAACATTTAACAGTTCAAATAAACAAAAAAATAGTTAAAATGAAAAAAAATAGTTAAAATGAAGAAAAATTAGCATAAAATTTTCAATTAATTTTTGAAATAAGCGAATTTTTTATAATAAAATCCAGGAAATTTTTTCGTTTTTTTTACTGTATAAAAAAAATGTTTAAATTGAAATAGAAGATTGGCGCAGCTTAGTATTAATTAAAAACATAAACAGTATAAACACAGCGTATGTGGCGGCGTAGTGGCGGAAGACGACGAGACTTCTGGAGTTTTGAATCTAAAGATCTAGACGCGGCAGGACGAAGACTTCCGGCCACGTCACCTATCTATCTATTTGAATATTTTTACGTTTTTGATAAATTTAGATATTTAAGTTTAGTAATAAAGTAGTTATTTAAACCCGGTGTTTATAAACTTGAGCGTAGCTAAACGTAAACGAAAAAAATCGGCTTGGTTATATCAACTGGTTTATTCTTAAACTGTCTTAAAATTTACATTACTTGTCAAACAGCATTATCCTACCTCTCCACCATCAATGATCTATGTCTCCCATCCTGTTCTGTTTCTTAAATTGATATTTAATAAAGTATAAGCATGTTAAATCTTAAGTAGCTGATTGAATATTGAATTTTTGAAAATAATTAAAGGTCTTCCCTAGCCACTTAACGCTCGACCCAGAAATATTCAACCTCTGTCTGCCAAGTTTTGAACCTCATTTGAGTAATTTCCTAGAGAACGCTTTCTGGACGGCCCCCCCCCTGGGGGCCTCCCACCCTCCCTTCCTCCTATTAATTTTGTACATGGATCTCATATGTATCGTACATTGATATTAAATTGGTCAAGAGGCTACAGTACCCAGCGACCTCTAGCCTGTCCTAGCCACAGCGCTTGGCCCCCCCTAGCCGCAGCGCTCGGCCCAGAAAGTGTCCTAACCTAACCCTAGATATACACTAATTTGTTGAAATAGAAGGTCTGTCCTGTTTGCAGTGCTCCTAGCCTGTCCTAGCCGCAGCGCTCGGCCCAGAATGTCTTATTCTAACCTAACGCTAAATATACACCCATTTTGTTGAAAATTGTTGAAATTGAAGTCTGTCCTGGCCGCAGGGCATTGAAATTGTCCTAACCTGGCCCTCATAGTACACAATAAATATTTTTTGGTTAAAAATAGTTTAAATTTTGGCAATATGCTAAATTGATAGGAGGGGGGGGGGGAATTGTTGAAATAGAAAGTCTGTCCAGACTGCAGCGCACGGCCTCCTAGCCTGTCCTAGCCGCAGCTCTCGGCCCAGAATGTCTTTCCAGAAATCTGGCTAAATACTTTTATCTTTTATTGGTCACTGAAACTGTAAAATCGACCACTAATATTACATATATTAATTTTCCACAGGTTGATAAGGGGAGGGGGTCCTCGGGGGCCCGTGAGAAGAGACAGAGCTTTGGTAGAATCATGCCGGGCGTGAATCACATTTTCGATCTCGTCTGAACTATTTACATGCTTTTCATCTATTTTATTTTAAATTTTTTTTGTTTATTTAAACTATTTTCATGTTTTTCCACAATTTCCTATAATGAAGTTCTTTTTGTTTTGTTTATTAAACTATTTCATCTGTACAATTTTTTTTTCATTTAAACCATCTTTTTTTTTCATTTGAACAATTTTTTCATTTGAACTATTTCATTTGAACTATTTTTTTGTTCATTTGAACTATTTTTATTTTCATTTGAACTATTTTTTTTGTTCATTTAAACTATTTTTATGTTCATTTGAACTATTTTTATGTTCATGTGAGCTATTTTTTCGTTAATTTGAACTTTTTTTTATGTTCATTTGAACTATTTTTATGTTCAATTGAATCATTTCTGTGTAATTGTTATCTAATTAATTGTATGATGCCTAACTTCATCAATTATAAAAAAATTTTAAAACTGAATTGGTAGAAAAATAGTTCAAATGAGCAAGTAATGTGTTTATTTTAACTACAGGATATGACGTCATGTCAGTAGTTCAAATGAACAACAGTTCAAACGAACAATAGTTCAAACGAACAATAGTTCAAACAGGAATAGTTCAAATGAGAATCCACCCGTCTGACTGTAGAAATGGCCTGAAAAAAGTTTTTTTGTGTGATTTTAAGGGATTTCACTTCAAAATTCCTATATTACGCAGTACGTGAACACTAAACTGCCATTAACAGTTCAAAAAATATCGCAAAAAAAACAGCCTATTAAATCATGAAAGTAAAGATAAATTTGTTTTTAGACCTCAAAATGCACTTAATTTCTTTAATATCTTCAAAATGGATTTACTCAAAATTCCCTAGATGACATTTTCCCAAAAATTGAGATATTCATTGTTCAGACCTTTCTTCAAACCGTTTGTTAACAGTTATCAGAAAAGCTTTTCCCTGCGTTTTTAGCTTAAAACTAAAGGGTCCATTAAGTTACAGGTAATTTTCATGTTACTTCTAATAGTTACTGTTTGTTGACTATCTCAATTATATTAACCTCATTAACGGTAAATATTTCAGGAGACATTTAGTCATTTCACATAAAAATATCGCAAAAAAAACAAAGAGCACAATTCAAAGCATCACAATATATTAAATCATTTTTAATTTTTTTTTAAAGTTTCACGCATTCGTTACTAAAATAGTCACAGTCATTGTAAAATTCTATTCATTTATTTTTAACTATCCCATCTTCTTTTAATCATGAATGGTTATTTTTATTCGTTAATAAAATATTCTTCAGTTCGGTAGCTGAACATTTCCCAGAACTAATAATGTTTTCCAGAATTAAGGAATACCACAATTTCAATTTGTTGGTTCAATATATAAGCTTCAACGCCTGGTCACTTTCATGTTAATGTATTGAGACAGATACTCTCCAGTTATACATGTATATTGTAAATCAAAGAATCTAAGTGCATCTCAACACAGCTGAAGTATCTGCAGCAGTCTTTTATCTGTAAGTTGATAACATCAGTTTATCCAAAGGTTCTCTAAACAAGGCAGGGTTCCCTTGTATTCAGACAAATACGCTCCAGGAATATTTGTATTTGATATATTCAGGGATCTAAGTTTACTTCTACAAAGCTGTAGTATCTGCAGTAGTCCTTTGTATGTGAGTTGTTTACAGTTACTCATAATCTGTATAATCATCTGTATAATAAGCATAATCTTCATCTGTGAGGTCACTGCAGTTACGAATGTTCAGGTTCTCTAAACAAGGCAGGGTTCCCTTGTATTCAGAGAGATTTTCTCCAGTTATATTTGTTCCTGATATATCCAGGGTTCTAAGTGTACTTCCACAAAGCTGTAGTATCTGCAGCAGTCCATTATCTGTGAGTTGTTCACAGTACATCATGTTCAGGGTCTCTAAACAAGGCAGGGTTCCCTTGTATTCAGACAGATTCTCTCCAGTTATATTTGTTCCTGATATATTTAGGGATCTCAGTGTACTTCCACAAAGCTGAAGTATATGCAGCAGTCCTCCATTTGTGAGTTGTCTACAGTTTCTCATGTTCAGGTTCTCTAAACAAGGCAGGGTTCCCTTGTATTGAGACAGACTTTCTCCTGTTATTTTTGTATACCCTATATCCAGGGATGTAAGTGTACTTCCACAAAGCTGAAGTATCTGCAGCAGTCCTTTATCTGTAAGTCGTCGACAGGCAATCAATTCTAGATTCTCTAAACAAGGCAGGGTTCCCTTGTATTTAATCAATATTTCACCAGTAATATTCGAATTCTTCAAGGTCAAAGATTTAAGAGTACTCCCACACTGTTCCAATATTTGTAGAAACAAGTCATTATTCAGACCCTCATCACAAGTCAGCTGTAGAGTTTGGAGTTGTTTTGAAACTATGTTGACATTTATTCTATAAATAAATTCAATGCTTCCTCTTATAATCAAGGTAGACAAGGTTGGAAGGGAGAATATTTCATTTAATCCAGTTGATGTAAGTTTAATTGTTAGACAGGTAGTTTCCTTTACAAGTTGAAACCTGAGAATTTCAGGATGTTTCTTCACAAGATACTCAACACCATCATCTAGCATAAATTGCAAGAAGAGGAATCTTTTGTTTCTTTTTAAATACAGGGACTGGCCTATTTACTGTCCTGTAGACTACCCTATGCATGTTTAGGGTTAAAAACTTTTAATAAAACATTTCAAAACTGTTTTTTGTTTGGGTTTAAAACTTTGCAATATTTTATCTTATTTTTTTGGTTTCACGCAATTTCTAAAAAATTGAAGAAAAAACCGTTAAAGAGTGTGAAAAATTTTTCGTAAACGCCCTTAATAAAATCAACAAAGATAACTAACGGTAACTTGAAAAAACAGAAAATATGGAAACAAACATTTCGTCTATACCTTTAAAACTAACGGCTACCTGAATCTTTTTTTCAAAGGTTGGACTAACCGTTAACAAAGTGGCTATAAAAAATTAGAACATGCCCAGCCCTAGGCATAAATATTAGATACCTTAAAGGTACACACCACACATTCAGTACAATTGCCTTGCAAGAACTACTTTATCTTAACTTCAAACAAAACTAGCCAAAAAAACATGTTTCTAATAATCCAATTTTAAATTATTGGGTTTTATGCTAGAAATAGTAAAAGACAGTTTTAAAAACAAAAAACTCAACTTCTTTTATGTATATATTTTATTTGTATGTCTGTTTGTTTGTCCGTTTGTGTTCAATAAACGTCAAAACCCAATCAGGCCCAAATTGTATGACCCAAGGGAAGGTTTATGGATGATCAGAGCTGGGAACTTTTGAATGGTGGATATCGGGATTAATGCTTAATCCACTCTTATTCTTAATCTCCAGATTAAATAATGCTTGTTCTCCTCTTGTTATTAATCTCCAGATTAATTAACCGATTGGGATTAAGAATATCACATTCTAAAGTTTTCAGCTCTGAGTTTCAAAAAGTTGTATCCAAAAGCTTCTTGCATGAACTTTTAAAAACGCACGAAAAAATATTTGAAAATCCGCGAACATTTTTTCTTTTTGTTTTATACTGTACAAAGAGAAGATATTCACAGATAAAGCCACAATTAAAAGTTAAAATAGAGGATGGGAGCAAAGCGGCCTTAAAGCCAAGTATATTTATACCTTGCTTGTCTGTATGTTTGATTGTCTGTCTGTTTGTTGTATCCAATAAACGTCAAAACGGCTGAACCGATCAGGCCCAAATGTTGCATGGGACCTCACATGACCCCAGGGAAGGTTTATGGATGGTTAAAATTTCAAAAGTTGTATCCAAGTAAAATTTTAAAAATGCGTAAACAAAATATTTGTTTTTTAGTTTTTTTTTCTGTACAAAGAGAAGATGTTCGCAGATAAAGACACAATTAAAAGTTAAAATAGAGGATGTGCGCAAAGCGCCCATAAAGCCTAGTAAACTTAAATTTTATGAGATGGAAAAAAAGAACACAGATTCAAAAATCCCCAATTCTGAACAGAAAACTAATTTTTCCTATGACCTATGTTTTTCACTCTTCACTCTTCAGTTAAAGATTTAACTGAACTGTGTACGCCCTTGGAACTTAAAAACAGGTAAAACATATTTATTTCAATGTATCAATTACCTAAAACTGTTTCAACTTCATCAACAAACTTGATGAGCTGAGCTGTTGTAAACTCGGTAGAAAACCTCCAATAATGAACCAGTTTATCCCCACATCCTTCCACTCTGTTCTTGAGAGTAGAGGACACTCCCCTCAGCATCTTCTTACTCCTGTAATCCAGGAACTGCAAAATATATATCACAGAATGTTGAAAGGAAAGAGAATTAGGATAATGCTTGTCAAATCATTTTTTTAATATCGCTGATATCGATGATTAGACAGAGGTTAAAAGGTTACCATTGCTTATCAGACATGCTAATTTAGAAATAGAAGGATACTTAAAATTACGTCTACAGAACCTTAAAGTCAATCAAAGTAAGAAAAGATTGTACCTGAAGAATATGCCTGATTACATCAGTACACATATCGTCCAGTGCAGGAACCCTTGCTATGGTTAGTACACTCATCAGAGGGAGAAGAGAAGTAATCATCTTTCCATTATCTCTGCTTCCTTCAGGTTTACACCTACTAGGTATCTTCTCTTCTTTATCCATGGTTATCCTGAAGTAAATATATACACAGTACTGATGATCAGTTTTAAAGAAATGTGAATTTTTGTATCCAGATTAAGGGGAAGTTAAGGTACACTGCCCCTTTTTTACTTTATTTAAATGACGTCCCAAAATGGATTTGCGTGAGGGCATTTATCAATCTAGTGCTTCTTTTCCACGCCCCATTTTGATTCAATATTATGCAAAAAAAAACATTATCATGTTTGATTCAGTTTAATAATATGCAAAGTCAGAAACAATGGGCTAATTCATGTTAGTGCAAGAATCATGGAAGATAGTAGCAGCATATTTCTCCGGAACCGGGCCACCGGAGGAGACATATAATTACCGGAGTTACAAATTGTCACGCAACCTCCCAGCGGAGGAGGAAAAGATAAATAAACCACGAAACCTACCCTTTATTCTGATAATTTTAACCGTTACACTGTTTGATTTTTAGGGGGGTGGGGGGCAGTGGCGGGGGGGTTCCAGGGG